GCACTTCCTAGTGAGGCGATGTCCCACCCTGTTTCTGGTCACCCTCCATGGACTGCACCCACTGTCTAACCAGTCCCAATGAAATGAGCAGGGGTACCTCAGTTGGAAATGCAGAAATCAGCCACCTTCCATTTTGATCTAGTTGGGAGCTGCAGATTGGAGCCATTCCTATTCAGCCATCTTGCCAGCCACATGAATCCCAATCTTTTAAACAACAAAATAACCTGTTAGGCAATAAATTCATTTGTGAAAGTTATACAGTATTCTAATTTGTTAGTGTAAGCCCTGGCTTCTAGTTTGCATCCATTAGAGGACTCCACCTATTAGGATAATTGACTATCTAAAAATATGGGTATTTGCCTTAATTAAATCTTTTTATTTTCTTCTTCTGTGTGATGTAAAATGGTAGTCGATTCATTTTTCTTTAATGGAAGTGTTTCTGAAAGAGCCAACTGTTTCTCTAGACTCAAGCTAAATAGAAAGATGTTTCATATTGATTTTGGCTGTCAAATTTGTTTTGTGCTCATTATAAAAACAAATCTGTTTTTAAACTATAAAACATAATTAGGAAAATCAGTGTTCCATGGAGGTTCACTGATCATCAATGTATTATTACCTTGAAAGAAGTTTTAAGCTCTCCCTTACCACCCAGGATGTGATTTTTATACTCCTTTTTCTCACTGTTGGTTGTTGAAAGCTCAGGGGATAAAAAGTAATGTAGCACCTTCACAAGAAAAATATGATTATTAAAGAAAACATAAATGTTTATTTGATAATTTACTAGTTAAAATAATCCTTACTGTTATATTTCTTTGAGAATAAAGACAACCTAGAGTTGAATATATTTATTTAGAAATGAACTCTTACTTCCACATGCACTGAAAACAAAGCCATAGAACTCCTCTTTCTTGAGTTTTAATAAAAAATTTTAGAAAACTAGGAACTAAGTTAATAAAAGAAATTAAGATCAGATGTTGGCAAAACATTTCATGCACTAACAATCTTGTCAGTTTCCTGTTGATAAATAGGTTAATTCAGACAGAAGAGCACTGTCCTGGGATTATTTTATTTCCTTGATGAGAGTGTGTAAAGAAGAGTGATTGTGTGACACTGAGATGTGTCACTGAGAGACTGATCAGACAACAACACAAGGTTAAGTTGTTTTGACTTTTTCATAATAAAAGTTAAATCAGTTGTATGATTTAACCATATAGGCTAGGAAGGAAATCTACCATTTAGGGGGAATCAGCCTTGGAGAAAATTCCTTAAACTCCATTTGCTTCAAACTGTAAGCACAAATGAACAAATGGTCTGTGGCATGACTGTGTGTCAGCATGGTGGGTTCCAGCCATTTCTCTTCTTCCTTCTGTGTTCACCACAGCCAAATGGGCTGTTGGGTGGTCAGAATTTGTCATGAAGATAGACAGCACTGGGAAACAGCACTGATGGCTCTCAGGCTGTGATCCAGTGCTTTGCTTTATGTGTAGAGCAATGCTCAGTGTCACTGTGTGTAACATGGAAACGATCATTTATTTCATTTAAAATTATCTCATTGAGATAAATTGAGAACACCTAAAAGTTAGAAAAGTGTTTTGACCTCTTGAAAAGAAAGACCATTTCAATGCAGGCATTTACTGACATATTTCCTCATCAAGCAGAAGTGGTCAGTAGCTATCTTTAATGTTGTTGAAATAGGTTGCTTTTAAAATCATTATTAGGTAATATAGAAACTGCTTGACTAAATAAGGTCACTTTAAATTCAGAAATACAAGCAGAAAATAAGAATGAAAACAAGAAACTATTATGGTAACTTGCACCGAACTAGATTTTTATAAGTTTGAAAGCAGATATACCTACCTTCTATTTAGACTGTTTTGATTTTTCCCTTTATTTCATTGTCAGGTATTATGATTATTTCACTTATTATTTATTTTTCACTTATTTTCTTGGGGTTTTTAAATCATTTACAAAGAGCTTTATTAAATAACAGTGTTTCTAAAGACAAGACTTGGCAGATCTTTCGAAAAATCAGAATATCTTAAAGGTAATTCCAAGTTGATGGAGAAAGAACAGAAGATTGGGTACTTTAAACCACAGAATTTGTACTATTTGTTGTCTTACTATTTGTATTATTTGTTGTCTTACTTGTAACATGACTTTTAGCAGATTAAATAACAACAAGAAAAAGCAGTAAATGATAAAATTTGGATACCAATTACTTTTGGTTCCCAAAATATTTTTAGATGAGATGCCTAACCTTGGGTAAAGCTTTCGTTTCCCTGGATTTCACTTTCCTCTCTGAATGATGAGAGGCTGAGAATAGATAGATTAGTTCTTAATTTCACTTGTGTGTTAGGATCACATAGGAAGCTTAAGAAATACTAATGTCCAGGCCCTACTTCCAATCAATAAAATCAAGTCCTATTTTCAAAGGGTCAGGAATTGGTATTGTTTTTTAAAGTTCTAAAGCTGCTTCCAATGTGCAGCAGTGTCAAGATGCAGACAGCTGCTCTATAATAGCACTTGGAATGCTCTAAAACCATCTGTGGCAAACTCAGTAACTGTTAGTGATAAAAAATGTTTTGAGTGATTTTTATCTGTTACATTTAGCTAATAATCCAAAGTCACATTTTAAAGAAATACAGCAAGCCCTCAGAATTAATCACTTAGAAGTATGCTCCTCAAATAATATATAAAGCCTTTACATTTTGAATGAATTGTCTGGTTTGTAAAATAAGTTGAAGTGGCACTAATGGACCAAACATGTAAAACAAACACTTTTGTATTGAGAATGTGTCAGCAGAGCACCAAACGGTCAGATGAAAATGCAGCAAAAATCGAAATGTTCTATATGAAAGATGTGTAACTGGATTTCTTTTTCTTCAAGTCTGTTTCTCCTGCTACTTTTCTTACCCTTACCTATTCAATTCTGTGCACTTTCTTGTAATTCTTCATTTCTTTCAAACAATGTATCTCTTTTTGTCAGAGTTACAGGAAAAAGACATCTCCCAAATACATCTTAATAGAAATGCACATTTCCCTTTCTTTCCTTCTATTCAGAGATCTCAAAATATAAATCTTCTGAAAATTTTCTATTAAAGCAAGTATTTTTAATTAAAGCTTTGGTCTATTCTGAACTGTGAAGACTAGACCAGACCAATGACTGCCACATCATTTTTATCCTCATTATCACCTCGTTAAGATCCCAGAACATGCCTCAGAGGCAGGGGGTTGAGACATGCAGCTTAACAAGGTGATAATGAGGAGAAAATGTCTCCAGTCTATTTGGGGCACAGCCCATGCCAGGTAGAATGATAGCAGACCAGGTCGGACTACAGCAGGACACACTCATTACTAAAATGTTGTTCTCTGAATGCGTTTGGCTATTTTAACATAAATTGTGTTTTCTTCCCATTGATAAACTAAGATGAAAAAAATAATGACTTGTACCTAAGACTTTGACAAAAGACTGCAAGTAGCTTCCCAATATTCATTTGTTTATCCTTAGTAGTATGGACCTTTATGCATAGCTGGACATTGCCATCTAGCTAAAAAATTGTATTCTCTAATATTCCGTGATCTATAGTTGCCATGTGACTATGCTTTGGCCAAAGATATTTAAATAGAAGTATTTCTGCTAACTCCTGAAAGTATCTTAAATTAAGAGAATTGCTTTTCTTCACCTATTTTCTCCTTTCTGATGACTGCAAAGTAGGTATGCTAACCGGAGCTCAGGCAGCCATCTTGGACTATGAAGTGGTAAAACATAAAGATGAAAGGAAGCTAGGCCTTTGTTACTATGTACGTATTATACTATAGCAGCCTGAACAGTCTTCCTCTGGATTCTCTTACCTGAAAGAGGAACTATCCTGTTTAAGCCAATAGTTTTTGTTGTTGATATTGATACATGACCTGAATCCAGTACTACTACACATATTTTCCAAAAATTAACTGTTTTTCTGATGTTGTTTTAAATCTAATCTAAGGTGCACATCTTTCATTCTTAATTTTCGGCTGTCAAAACAAGAGTACCTGGGAAGAGTGGTATGCTGAAGCTAACTCATATGAGCTCACAAAAGCCTATTTTTAAATGCAAAATTTTTCAAACCAATTGTTAAACACAGTCATTATAAAAATTATATAATATTATAATTTTATAAATTATATTAAAATCAAAGATAAATTCTTAAAATTACCATTTCCTAATGATTTTACTTTTTTCTATGATCTTGAGTTTGTATTGTACCAGGTTGGAAACATTATACAATGGGGCTTTAGTGTACATTTCTTCCCAATTCTCTGTTTAACAGCATGACAAGGGCAGCTTTAAATCAGCCATAGTGGGAGCATTTCCACCATGAAAATTGGCTTTGCTACAAATCTGGGCTTGATGTTTGTTTTGTTCATTTTTTAGACTTAAGAAAGTGATATGAAGAATGAGCTAATAAAGCAAGTTACACCAAAAGTGAGGCATGGCTAGTGATGAAGCTGAAACATGTTTCAATTTAATGAATAGTAATTTTTTATGGAAGTCAGAATAGTTTGATAGTAGGCTATCTGTCAGATTTAATGAAAATAATTTTATTGGGTAAAGAGTTACCAGATTAGGATGCGACTTCATTTGTCAAGTCGTTGTTGAATTGCAATCACAGGTTGGCCACAGAACAGGAGCTCAGCAAAAATTAATGAAAGCATTCTAATTGGCTATAGAATTTATACTGAAAATATTACATTTTTATTATTTATAAATCATATGCTAAACATACTTTAAATCAGTAAAATTTATTATAAACTAATGTAATTATATATACACACACACACACACACACACACATACACACACATACTTATATATGCATACATATAGGTTTTTTTTTCAGAGAGCCAGTTAAAAATTTACCAGCACACTGCTGTCCAAGGTCATCTATTTCTCCACTTCCCCAGCCCACACATTCAACTGATTACTAAATTCTCTAAATTTTGGTTTAGAAATGCTATTTGAGCTCGCTTCGGCAGCACATATACTAAAATTGGAGCGATACAGAGAAGATTAGCATGGCCCCTGCGCTATTTGAATCATATATTTCCAACCACCTCATGGATAATGTTGTAGGTTAGGTATTCATTTTCACTCTGGCTGCTCACGCTTTTATCTCCATCACTTCCAGTTCATATTCCACACCATCAACATAAGTGTCCTTCAACAAGGTGGGTGTAGTCCTGCCACTTCCCTGCTTAAAGTCATTCAGTGGCTCTCAACGACTTAGAGGATAACACTTCCGCTGCTTGGCATGGCTCAAGCTACTGCCACATCCCTTCATTCATTCTGAACTCCTTGCTGTTCTCTTCCTTTATTCTGCCATCAAGTGAGGAAGATTCAATACCATAAGACAGGGTGGAAAGAAAAGTGAGGGAGTTGCCTTCAGCTGAGGAAATTCTTGGAGAGGAATGCAGCTGTGAACGTCAGCAGTCAACACTCTTAGCATCTGGGAAAAAGACACATGCCCTGAAATAAGGGAGAACTGGGAAGATGCACCACAGTGTTACTACAGATATTCAAAAGGAGATTGATGAATTTTCTGATCAAAGGACTGGAGGTTTCTCACCTACCCCTTCTCCCTTTTGGAACGTCTCCCTTGCCTCAGTCAATATGAGATAATATTATTCTCTGATAACTGTTTCAGATCCTAGAGAACAGAGTTCCTTTCCTAAGTAATATAGAAAGAGCCTAGGAAAAGTGTTAGACCAGCTCACAGAAATTTCCTTGTCTTACTGTGACTGCAAAGCAGTAGAATTTTTTCTATGTATCTGATGTCTAGCTGCAGAAATAGCTGAGAAAATTATCAGAATAAGTATCCTTCGAGTTAGAGATGTTATCTATTGATACTGGTGTTCTCTCAGATGTCTGTCTTCACAGATTGCACACGCTGCTGCTGAGTAGTTAGGAGGTCTGTGAGAGATTGTCTCAAAGATGGTCACCAACAGTTTTTCCCATCTCTGTAAACACTGCTACCCATCAAGACATGAAATCTCTTTCACTTCCCCTTGAATTTGAGTTGGACTTGTTTTGAGCAATAGAAAATAGCAGCAGTGATGTTTTGCCTGTTCAAGGGTGCCTGCCTGGAAGCTTCCACCATCACTATTTTGGGACCCAGTCACTACTTTGTGAGGAGCTGGTCTAGACTACTGGAAGGAGAGAGGTCAAGTGGGGGAGAACTGAGATGCTGGGCCAACAACCAGGACCACTTCCAGTGGGTCATATATGTATGGCCATCTTGTAGGCTCAAACTCAACCTGAGCACCCCAGTAAATGCAGCTACATAAAGAACTGCAGTTGATGCTGTGTGGAACAGAAGAAAAACCCAGCTGAACCCAGCCGGCATACAGAATCTTATATAATGACAAATACTTTAAAACGTCTTATTGAGGTATAATTCATATACCACACAATTCACGCATCTAAAGTATATAATTAAATGGATTTTAGTAAAATACTAAATTTACAGAGTTATGTACTTATCAGCACAATCTAATTTTAGAACTGTTTTATTTCACCAAAAAGAAACTCCATACACATTAGCACTCACTCCCTATTTTTATCGATCCTCTAGCCATCAGCAACCGCTAACCTACATACACTGTAAATAAATTCTGGGTGTATAATTTAAAATAATCATGTAACATGTAATTATTTGTGTCAGTTTCTATCACTTGGCATAATGTTTTAATGTTCTTTTTTTTTTTTTTTAAACAGAGTCTTGCTCTGCCTCTCAGATTGGAGTGCAGTGTTGTGATCATACTTGATCATACCTGCCTCAACTTCCCGAGTAGCTAGTACAACACGTGTGTGCCACCATGCTCAGCTAGTTCATTTATTTATTTTTTAATGAAGTCTCGCTATGTTGCCCAGACTGGTCTCAAACTCCTGGCCTCAAGTGATCCTCCTGCCTCAGCCTCCCAAAGTACTGGGATTACATATGTGAGTCAAAATGCTTGGCATATTACATTCTTAAGATTCATCTTTGTTGAAGCAACTATAAGTACTTCTTTCATTTTAATGCATAATAATACCCTATCCCACAGATAGACCACAATTCATTTATCCGTTCATCAGTTGATAGACATTTTTATTGTTTCCACCTTTTGAGTATTATGAAAATACTTCTATGAACATTTATATACAAGATTTTGTATGACAAATATTTTAATTTATTTTGGGTATATACCCAGGAGTGGAATTGTTGGATCATATGGTAACTTTATGTTTAACATTTTGAGAGAATGCCAGTTTCTTAAACTGGTTTTACCATTTTATATTCCCACCATCAATGTATAAGTATACTAATTTCTCCATATCCCTGTCAACAATTTTTTGCTTGTTTTTTTGATTATAGTCATCTCAGTGGGTATAGAGTGGTATCTCTTTGTGATTTCAAATTGCATTTTTCTAATGGCTAATGATGTTGAACACCTATTCAATGTTTATTAGCCATTTGTATATCTTCTTTGAAAAAATATGTATTCAGATACTTTCCCCATTTTTCAGCTAGATTATTTACTTTTGTATTGTTGAACTGTAAAAGTTCTTTATATAGTCTGAATATATGTTTCTTATCAGAAATATAATTTGAAAATATTTTCTTCTATTCCATGGACTACCTTGTCACTCTCTAGATGGTTTCATTAGAAGCACAAAAGTTTTAAATTTTGATCTACAGTATATTTTGATCTTACAATATAGAACTTAGCTCATCAGAATCTGCTTCAGATTTATACTGCCTTAGTTCTAGTGAAACAGAAACTTTACTCCCGTAAAGCTATCTTCCATCCTCCTCCACTTTTTAAATTATTCATTCTTATAACAGTTATGTTTACATGTTATAAACTCAGTAATATGTTGATAGTTATTACTTTATATAATCTTATGTATTTTAAAGCAGCTGACAGAAAGAACAAGTATGTGTTGACAAAATTTGCCGTATTAATGTTTATTTACTCTTTCTGGTTCTCTTTGTTTCTTTCTGTGGATTTGGGTTACCATCTAATGCCATTTTCTTGCTCCAACACAGCTTTGCTGCCACTTGCTTCCTTTGTGTTATTATTGTCAAATATAGTACACTTCTGTATGTTATTGGCCCAACAATACAATTATATGCATATCGTTTTATGCAATTATTATTTAAATCAGTTAAAAGAAGACATGAAGTACTCAATTATGTTGTGTTTCACAATTATATATGTAATTACTTTTATTAGCACTCTTTGTTTTTTCACGTAAGTGTATATTACTGCCTGGCATCACTTTCTTTCAGCCTGAATAGCATCTGTAAATAATTCTTGTAAGGGAAGTCTGCTAGCAATGAATTCTCTTAATATTGTTTATCTTTGAATATTTTTATTTCACTGTCCTCTTTTAAAGGCATTTTGCTTGATATAAGATGTTTAGCTGGTATTCTTTTTCTTTCAACACTTAGAATATGTCATTTCACTTCCTCTGGCCTGCATTGCTTTCACTGAGAAGTCAGCTGTTATTCTTATTGACATTTATATGTAAAGCATTGTTTTTCTCTTGCTGCTTTCAAGATGTTATTTTTATCTTTGACTTTAAGCATTTTGTTATGATTTTTCTGGGTATAGATCTCTTAGCTTTTAACTTGTTGAGAGTTCATTTAACTTCCTGGTTGTATAAACCAGTGTTTTTCATCAAATTCTGTAAGTTTTCAGCCATATTCCTTTAAAGAATGTTTCTGTCCCTTTTTCTGTCTCCTCTATTTCTGGTACTACTATTAAATGTATGTTCGTGTGCTTAATGTTGCACCACAGTTTTCTGAGTTCTGTTCATTTTTCTTCATTTTTTTCTTTCAATTTCAGCTTCCATAATCTCTGTTGATTTAAGTCTGTTGATTCTTTCTTCTGCCAGGTCAAAGCTGTTGTTAGTCCCCACTAGTAAATTACTCACTTTGTTATTTTACTTTTCAACTCAAGAAATTTCATTTTATTCTTTTAATAATTTCTATATTTTTATTGCTATTCTCTATTTTATGAGACATCATCATACCTTCCTTTTCTTCTTTAATCATGATCTTGTTTGTTTCTTTAAACATATTTATAACAGCTGCTTTCACATCTTTGTCTTTTAAGTTCACTGTCTACTTCCCCGTAAGAGTACTTTCTATTACCTGTTGTTTATTTTCCATGAGTATGTATGACAATTTAGTACTCCTTTGAAGTCTCATGATTTTTGTTGAAAACTGAATGTAAATCTGGATACTGGGTCTTCCCCTCCCCCCACAAGGGTCATTATTGTTCACTTAGTCATTTTGGTTATTTATGCGATAACTTAGCTGAACTAATTATGTGTAGTATATTATTTCTCTGATCTTTTCTTTCTTTTATTTTTATCTTTTATTTTGGCTATTTAGAGATTGCCCCTGAGTTGGCATAAGCCGCTTATTGCCAAATGGTTATGTTTACTCATGTCAGCTAATTAGAATTTTACCCTTTACCGCTATATAGCGTATGGCTTGGAGGCTGCTATTAAAGTTCAGGGAGTTTACATATTGTTCCCTATTTAGCCAGAGATTAGTAGCTTCAACTTTCCCTTCATAATTTTTTGAGAGTATGCAATGATGAGCATACATACATTCTTCCAGAGTGCCAGAAATTACTGTGATTCTTTTTTTAAAAAATTATGTTTTTTTTATTAGTTGCCCCCATGTCACAGTAGTTTATTGTTTAATCTGTGTTCAGTCAGAAGTTTTGTTTAGGCTCCTTGTACCAGTGAGGTTTCCACCCTGTGTAAATGGGTCTGTGTTGGGTTTGGGGAATGCTTTAAAATGTGTACTACATCCTACTGGATTGGTCCTGTGAAAGTATGCCCTATCACAGGCACAAAGTCTTCCCAAGCCTCATACTTGAATGTGAACACAAGGGTTCTTGTTTACCATCACTCACTTTCTCTGGTCCTCTGTATTAAATGTCATGGTGTTCTGACATTTTTATTTTATCAGGAAACTAACAGCTTCCTCTTATTTTCTCACCACCAAAATCTCTGTTGTTTTTGACATTGCCCTTAGGCATGGAGTTCTTCATGCTCTGTTCCAAAT